CTCGGTGAAAAGCGAGTCCCGGGGGCGCGTCTCGCAGACGAGACTCGCGCGTTTGCGGGTGGTGAAGCCGGAGCTTGGCCCCTGGCTGCTGCCTTGGCGGCTCTGACCGGGCTTTGTGCGAGGAGGGCCGCGCCAGCCCTTTGTTGTCGTCCCCACACGCAGAGGACCCTCCACCTCCCCCTGGGACAAGGGCCCCCGAGCTCAGCGACGGGGTCTGAGGTGGGACTGGGGCAACGAGCAGCTGCGTCTGCAGGGTCTGTGTTGCCCGACAGCAAAAGGGATGGGGGTCCAGAGAAGAGCACAAATGTTATGTGTTTTGCAAAATAGACCTGGCTCTCATACAGAGTAGCTTGGATGTTAAACTGAATTTGGTGATTGAAGTGCAAAATTTACATCCCAGCCTTAAGGAAAGCTCCTGGTGAGCAAAGCAGCATCTAGACAATGTCATCTTAAAACGATGAAAACAAAACAATGTTTTTTTCCATCAGAGTGAGCCGCTCCTAATCAAGGGAGGCAAAGTCGTCAACGATGATCAGTCATTCTACGCTGACATCTTAGTGGAGGATGGCCTGATAAAGTAAGTGACAAGCCGCTGTTTCCACGGGGCATGTGGTGCCCCTTGGTGTGCCCGCTGTGGTGCTGGCGGCACCGCGTCCCACCAGCACTGTTCTTGCAGGCAGGTCGGGGAGCAGCTGCAGGTGCCCAGTGGCACCCGGACGCTGGATGCCTACGGGCAGCTGGTGCTGCCGGGGGGCCTGGACCCGCACACGCGGCTGCGGGCGCCGGGGATGGCTCCGGCCGACGACTTCCAGTCCCGTCCCTGCAGTCGACCACGTGCTGCCAGAGCCAGGCACCGCGCTGCTGGATGCCTACGAGCGCTGGCGCGAGGCTGCCGCCGGCCAGGCCTGCTGCGACTACGCGCTGCACCTCGACGTCCCCCGCTGGCACGAGGGCCTCGCCGAGGAGCTGGAGGCCCTGGTGAAGGACAAGGGTATGGTCCCCCCCATCACATTGCGAGTTAGTGCGTTGTGGTAGCGCTCTGTTTCGCTGCTTGCAGCTGTACTCGCAGAGCTGCGGTGTTACTGTGGGTCTTGCAAGCAACAGCTTCAATTAATGCTGAAATTTGCCGTGATTTCCCCGTTCCCAGAGCTTAAAGCAGGCATTTCCACATGCACATTCCCGTGAAATGCAGGTTATTTGCTGTAATTCTGCATTGCTGTTGCCCTTGCCTGTGTAATGCACAGTCACGGTGCCTCCTGCACGGGGTTTTGTGAGAGCTTGGGCAATGCGCAGGGGGTGGCACCCAAGGCTGCGTTTCCAACAACCAGCTAATGTAGCCCGACATCGTCAGCCCCTGAGCTGCTCCCATGCACGCCAACCTCACCGAGGTCTCCTTGGCAGGGGTGAACTCCTTCCTGCTCTTCATGGCCTACAAGGACAAGCTGCAGTGCTCCGACGCGCAGGTAAGGGCCGGGGGGCCGCGCCGCCCCTCCCCAGCCCGCCGCGGCGGCTCATGCCCCTTCTCCCCCGGCAGCTGTACGAGATCTTCAGCGCGCTCCGCGACTTGGGAGCCATTGCCCAGGTGCACGCTGAGAACGGCGACATCATCGACGAGGTAGAGCGCTAAATCCCTTCCGAGCAGGGGTCACACCGGGCCCTGGGCTGACGGGGGTGGTGCTGCCATCGCAGACGGGCTGTGACCACCTGCTGGGAGGGGAAGCAGGGGCAGGGCCCTTCTGCATCTGTTTTCTGCTGTGAATTGGCTGGGGATCAGGGCACATCAGGTGGAGAACGTGCTTGGTGCAGCGGGCGTAGCGGTGCCTG